TAAAACCGAAACCTGTCCGTCTACATTCATTTGTGAAAACGTGCACTCAATTCCCACTTAACACAGCATGTGCAGATGTAAAAGCAGTCGATCATTGTTGTGAACACTGTTGTTTACTATGCTAACATTAGCTGGCTAGCTAACGTTAGCATGCCACTGAAGATAGCTAGCCATCTTGCAGACTGTCTGTGGAGGCAAACTGTACCCTTTCTCCGATGCTCGCTCTGCTGTCCTTTAAAATGAAACTCTCTGGTGTGTCATTGCCAGCAAACCCGTCCTCACTCGGTGTATGCTTGTTGATCCACCATTCAACTATAATTCATTCAAAAACGCAAATTTTGCCATAATTATCGTGGCCTTCTTATCGCCACCGGACAAAGAGGGACAAGCAGGAGTATCGCGCACCATGGAAGGTCGCATCTCGCCGCAAAAATGGGGGTGTCGATAAGTGTACTTTATTATTATTAAACGTGTTAAAACAATTATGATGGAAACACATATTGCAATGTGTAGTATATACAATTATAGTATTACGTTATGACAAACTACCCGCGTTACCGCCGTCCATGGTATTTTGTTGAGTTTGTAGAGTTAGTGTCGTACCTTTCACTGGTGTATGTGGAGGCGCTCAGAACAGACCATTTTCCAACGCTACCCTGTACAATTAAAGAAGGGGTGGACATTAATTAGACAGCCAATTAAGCACATTATCAAGTGACATTATGATTAATATTGAATTAACGTCCAACATTAAAATAATAATATAACTGTCAACTTCAATTGTAATCATTAAAAAAAAAAAAAAAAACACTTTCCCATGAATGGATGTAGGCTACACTCATGTCTGTGGTAGCCTTTTATTCATGTGTCAGAGCATAATCAATTTCTTATTTTAATATCAGCATTCCAGGAGGCCCGTGTACTGCCTTTTTAATCAATAATCATTTTTACTTTTTTGTAATTCCTATGTTGTTTATTACAATTAAAACAGAAGCTGCAATAATTATAAAGCCATGGAATAATAAAGGTGTCACTATTCTTACCTGGGCATAGGTCAGCCTAAACTAGAATACTGAAATAAACTAAATGCTTATTCTATCAAGTTGTCTACAATTAAAGGCTTATCACCGCCCACCCCGGTCCTGCCTTCCCCTCTTAACTTCAGATATCCCCCTCCCATCTGTACTCCAGGCGCAGTCAGAGTCTCATTGCGACAGTGAAAGCTTGTGAAAGACCAGATAAGCCACTCTGGGAATGGGACCTCAAATCAGAAGCAAGAAGAACTTTGCCTTCTTTCGGGTCTTCCCACTTCGAAGACACCTATTCATCCAAAGGGAATAAACTTTTCCTCTGAGCAGAAGAAGGAACAGGTGTAAGAAAATCACAAATGGGATAAAGTAGTGGTATTTGGTTTTTTTCCCTTTGCCAAAGGGCATGTTCTCTCTAGGTTTATACTTATTTAAAGTA